AGCACATCCCGCGCTCCACGGACTGTGTCTCAGCTGATAGATCTTCACTAGCCTTTCTCAATTTCATGATTGCATCACATCACATATCGTAAACATTCTGTTTCAGTAATTTATCCGGGTCTTCTCAGTGCTTTGCTATTTCCATTGCCTGGTAGTAAATGTCCCCGTTTGGCCCCCAGTAGAGGACTTTATGCTCTGCCCAACTACATTTTATTTATCAGACTACCAGTGGATAAGATTTGCCACACTCCTGTTTCTTAATAAATATATTTCAAACTTCTTTTATTCAAATATCCACTTTCCTTCAAATCTTTCAGTATTTCCCCTTCAAGATGTGTTCCACAGCCCTGCAACATGCTCAGTTCAGATTAGCAAATCTCCAATTGCTTGAATTGTTTGTTCCTTCCTTTTCAAATACAAGTATTTGGATTTTATGGATTTCTTTTCCCACCTATTACCTTCCCTGGTTTTACAGATTCTGACAAAATCCTCGCTGACATCTGCAGTTCCATGCACCAGTTCGTAACACAGATTTTGAAAAGGGGTTATTCTGGCCCCCAACTCTGTTGCTCTAATTCCCTTCTGTCTTTAGCCATGGGTGTACTGACAAACATTTCTTGTTGGCCAAGGAAAATATAATCCCATGATGAATATTGTCTTCACTGAAAATAAAGCAGAAAATTTACCTCATCTTTATCATATATAGAGAGATAATCTTTTACCCTAAAGTTTTACAAAACCTCATCCCTGCCGCATTTTAAGCCAATCCCACATCTTTTTTATCTTTTCTTCTTCTTTCTTATATAGTTAATGAGTTATTTATTACTAACGAGTTACCTGTTACTGTTTCAGCTTCCTATTCATGTTCTAATCCTCTTTTACACTGGAAATTCTCACTTATTTTCTGACCTTTAAACTGCAGCTTTTTTTTAGCACAATCCTTTCTCCTACTCGTAAGCTATCTGCTTCCTGATAATATTCCTCTTTAAGGCAGTCTGTTTAGGTTTCAATCTCTATAGCTGAGACAACTTTTTTCCTGCACTTTGAGATGTCATTTTGATCTAAAACCACTAGGAGGAAGCATTCAACAAGTTTCACTGCCGTCTTGCAGATCCGAGTTAATTTTATGAAATTGAGAGTTCCAAGAAGGAAGCAAGGGGGTCGCTGGGTCACACACCCCCTTGAACGTGTCCGTAGCATGTAATTCCTTGAAGAAGTGAGTAACTATTCACCTTTCGGTGAGACTGGTTCTTTTCCTCCTGCTGCAAAGCGGTTTCATGATTCTATCTGAAGGAAAAAAAAGCCACTTCTCGTTTTTAAGGTTAATTTCTTTCCTGACTATTCTATTTGTCTTTTAACTCTTTTTTTCTCCCTAGCTCATATTTTCCTACCTGTTTCTTTTTTTTACTGAGAGTTATGATGCACCCTCTCTGTTGTTATTTTTTGGACTGAAAGAAATAAACCTGGATCTCTCTTCATAACATAGAGTATTCATTCTAGTACTGCTTCTCTGCACTTGGTCCAGTTTTAATTCATAACTGTTGAATTGTAAAAGTATCTGTGAAATGGGAGGAAAAGAACTGTTCTTTCAAGTGCAATAGGAGTTCCATGCCTTGCAGCTCCATTGATTTGCCCAAGAGCTGAGAAACACTGAACAGAATTATCCGCACAGTTCCATTAATAATTATGATCTCAGTGGTAAAGTCAGTCTAGCTTATGCTTTAGGTCCTATTTTTTTCTGAAGAAAATAGCTTTTATTGGTTAGTTCCACATATCCCTTTTTTTTTTTCCTTGAATTATCCTGATTTATGTGCAAATATATGGACGCGGGTTCGATTCCCGTTCAGTCCCCATGTGTTGTCTGATCTACTAGAGAGGTGGCATTTCTGGCGACACGGAGGCTGGATTAAAATGATCTCTAAGGTCCCTTCCAGCCTAGGCCATTCTATGATTCTATGATTCTATTTAAGAGCTTTACATTACTTTGATTTCCTGTGAAAAATGCGTATGCTTTAGGTAGTGAAATCAAATCCACTACAGAGAGGTATAGATGTTCTGATATTCTCATGTCCTTCATTGGTATTTTTATTGTGCTACATCGCTATCGAACGAACAAACAGAAACATAATTTTATTGAGCTGGTGTTTCTCGTGAACTGTCAAAGGGAAAAGCTTTCAGCCCTCACGGTTTTATTGTCACTCTTAATAACATCTTTAAAAATGCAACTATTTGGGGTAAAATTTGTAAGTGATACGTAGATTATGGAAGAGCTAACTGTTGAAGACATCAGGCTGTTAACACAATGGTCTCTGAGTAGTGGCTGAAAGGGGCCAAACCAAAAAATGACCGAAAAATGATGGCAGTCCACCTGGAAACAAAACTGTACAGCACACAGCCACCACAACAGACTAGGATTTTAGTACGCACATTGGTAGGATCCAAAATAAAGAGGATTCCGAGGAGAACCAGAAGAGTTAAAGAAGATGGCAAGAGACCTGCCTTCCCCAAAACGATTTCACCTTTACTAAGAAGGGTTTCTGCAGGATGTAAAATTCACCCCAGGGGTTAATTGTCATTTTTTGCACCAGCGAACATTCACTTAGGATACCAAATTAACTTTTGCACCTGACCTCCTACACTGGTGGAGCTCTGACTTAGCTTCAAGGTAGCCTTCCCTGACAGATGGACTTCAGTGAGGCTTGCGTGTGGCTGACAGACAATAAATTATCCTTACAATCAAAAATAACCCTTCCTGGTACACAAACTTGAAAAGATGGGTAGCGCTAGCTTTGGGTAAGGATGTGTTCAAACATGAAATCTCCTGAGAGGATGTGATGTCAGGACTGTTCAGGGCACACGCAGATCGATGAGAACAGTGCGTGGGGCTCATCAGTTATTTTCGACAGACCTTGGACATCAAGGCAGGCATTGAACAAGCTAGAGCTTGGAAACACCATCTCAAAAGTGTCGTGTAACCAAGTCTCAAACTGTGATGTGTCACAAACTGGGTGTTTTAAATGTAATTTTACCCAGCTAAACTCATTTTTACTAATTCTTCTTAGTTATTAGTTTGGGGATTTTTATTGTGAAGGAATAGTCCTGGGCTCCAATGGCACAGAGCTGTTAACTTTTCTGGTATAATGTGGATTCACTGTGTACCTATCTTAAAATCGAAGGTGCACTAGTCAAAACTAATTGAAGATGCCAGGAGAAGCTAAGGGAATACCACAAAGGAAATTAGAAGTACTGTAAATATTATTTATTTCCAGTCAGTGCTCAGACAGTATTACCTGAAAACAGATTCTCATTATTAGGTGCAATGTACCATTCATAGTAGAAGAGGATTTCTGTCCAAAAAGCTCACAATCTGAAGAAGTGAAAAAGATAGAAGGAGAAGAAACCGACACAAGACAGGACATGTAACTGCCACTGCAGAGAAGGGCTGTTGAAGAGAGTAGACAACCCACAGCAGGCTGCAAAGAGCGTACAGCAGGTTCCACTCAGTCGCGTGACCCGATTTCCTTCCTGGCTGAAATCAGTGCGGAGGTGAAAGCTCACCCGAGTCATGCCAGAACCTGCCAGCTCCAACAGTGACCACGCAGCTACAACCCTGGGACTAAGAAAATTAAAAAGCCTCTTACGCTAGATTGTGTGTAATGTATTTGGAGTTGGAATAAGAAATTAAAATGTCAAGGGTGATTTATGAGTGTCTACTCCATGACAAAAGGTAACACAAGTCATCAAAGAGAAAAATGCATCAGCTGGAAGTTTCTCCAAAGAATTTATGGTTCCATCAGTCTTATGTTAATCCTAGATCAAAATGTTTCAACACGTTTCCTAATTGTCCATATTACAAGTACTTTGGTTTCTTCTGATCTTTACAGATGAGAGAAAACTGGTCCTTCAATCAGACAAGGACACGCAGAAGGGGAAAGGCTCCTACCATGGTTGAGACACACCTACCTTAGGTCAAGGCCTCATTCCATGGCCATGAGTGATGCCCACCACCACGACCAAGGGCAGCTCAGATGGGGCCCCTGTGGTACTCTCCAGTCTGGGTTTCTGATGTCTAAGGGAGAGTTTGAAGGGATACTGTTGATTTCTTTCAGTGGAAATGCTTATGTGTGTCACTCTTCTCTACCACCTTGGCAAGAATTAACTAGAGCATGAAACTTAACCATTTTGTGAAGCCTGAGAAAATTATGTAACAAACACAGTTTGTTATTGAGTGACTGATGGACACACAGCACAGCTGCCTCCGCCTCACTGCCAGGTTGAAAAAAAATAATCCTTACAGACAAAATATAAAGCAAGGTTTTACTCAGCTCGGTAGAATTTGTGTAATACTAAGAGTTGCATTTATTGTTTCATTAAGCTGCAGTAACACAACTACAATAGCAAACATGCCATGATTTATTCTGTAAATTGATCATATTGGAGGAAATCCACTACACTGTGACATATCTGTGGATCATGCAGCGGCTACGTGTATGGTACATCCGTCTTCAAACATTCAAAATAAATAAATCAGCAGCCGTTTGCGTAACAGGTTTATAATGAAAGCATTAATTAGGAATGGACTAAAGGTGAATTTTAGCTCATTTTCCTTCAGCAATATATCTTAACACTGGCATTCTTTTTCTCTTCTCCAGTAGATTAGTTGGTGTTTGGGCTTTTCTGTGCATTTTGCCCTGGGGATGGTGCCAGCAGGCGTTACGTGTCACCGCCATGAATATGCCACAGCATTCAGGTACTGTGGGACCTGCTTTGCAGTGAGGTGCCCTTGATCAAACAGATCCAAAACCTTTCTCTGCATACATAAATACTGAACAAGGCTGAACATAGCACAGTCAAAGGCCATTATTTAACAGCTAACATAGTCAACTGATCACAATCAAGAGGCTTTGTTTCATAGGGAGGCTGCCTCAGCCAACATGTATTTACAATATCAGCCTCTGTGAACATTTTTAAATATTCATAACAACATTGTCACCAATAATCTACTTAATATCTGGAGATTGTTGATTACATAGAATTTCTCCATTCTCAACCATGAGATTGCCACTATTGGCTCTTGTGACACTGTCATATGATGGAGGAAAGGATGCTGAGGACAAAGTTTCAGACTTATCAGGACTCCTGCCATAGTTTTTATCTATCATAGATGCAATAAGTCCTTCTTGTTCTGGAGCAGCATCTCCAACAGCGTCAATATTGCAAGTTCTGTGATGATATAGGTAAGAAGCCTGCTTTATGGAGCGTAGCAGTAAATGATTCCTGTAGGCACGCTGGATGATGATGGCACAAATTTCCTCTTGTCTGTGTCTGAGTGTAGTAGAAATCGGCTCATAGGATTTCTTTGATGGATTGGCAGCCATGAATTTCTCCTCCATTTGTACTTTTAGAGTATCCAGCACCCCAGAATCTCCTAACACTCGTTTGGTAAAAGCAAACAAGATATCCAAGCAGTGGATCCTGTCTCCACTGACCATAGGCAGGTCCATTGCTATGAGTTCAACTTTGTTTGGTTTTGGTACACGTAAAGGTTCAGCCAGAGCATCTGCAAAGTCTGAAAGTGCAGAGAAAGTTATGAACTGAGTTGCCTCAGGATCAAACTTCTCCCAGATTTCATAAAAGATATCGAAGTCATCTTCCCCTAGAGGCTCTGCACTTTCCTCAGTAGCAGCATTGAAGTTCTCCAGAATAACAGCTATATACATGTTTACGACAATGAGAAAAGATATAATGATGTAACTTACAAAATAAATAATGCCTATGGCAGGTTTACCACATTCACCTACAGTACCATTTACAGTTGGATCACAGTATGGTGGCCCAGTGTTTAAAATAGGACTGAGAAGTCCATCCCAGCCAGCTGACGTGGTGATTTGGAAAAGACAGAGCATGCTGTTAGCAAACGTTTGGAAGTTGAACATGTCATCAATGCCATCTTCCATCTTCACATAAGCAAAGTTAGCCATACCAAAAATAGCATAAATGAACATGACCAGAAAGAGCAAGAGGCCAATGTTGAACAGAGCAGGCAGGGACATCATTAAGGCAAAAAGCAGAGTTCGAATTCCTCTAGCAGCCCTGATGAGTCTCAATATTCGTCCAACCCGAGCCAAGCGAATGACCCTGAAGAGCGTAGGTGGTAATAAACGTTCGAAAGCGGTACCAATGCCAGAAAGCAGTAAGGCTAAAATGGAAGGGATAACAACTGATTAGAATATCACATTTCTGCTTAACTAGTAAGTAGGATCATAGAATCACAGAATGGCCTAAGCTGGAAGGGACCTTAGAGATCATTTTAATCCAGCCTCCCTGCCACCAGGGACGCCACCTCTCGACTAGATCAGGCAACATATGGGGACCGAACGGGAATCGAACCCGTGACCTTAGCGTTGTTAGCTCCACGCTCAACTGACTGAGCTAACCGGCCCCTATACAATTAAAAATACGAGGTGTGTATGCTAAGATCCTAAAGAACAACGTTTAGTAGAATTTAGAGTTGAATAATTAGCTGTAGAAATCAGCAGAACTATGTTCTTCAGCCACTAGAAGATAGTGCCCATTGCACTGAGGACGGTGAGCAGCCTTCTAAGCACAATTTCAAATATCCATATCAAGTCAACATTGGTTAACTGAAGTATTTCTTTGACACCAGTTGCATGACTACTTCAGCATGTGCAGGTTATATATTTACCTTTTAATTTTGACTTTAAATACTGACACTGCAAAGCTAAACTAACAAAATTAGGTAGGAGAACAATGTCACCATCGTCATTTAGATAATATATTCAAGATATGTATAAGCACCCCAGTTGTGCATGCCACTTTACAGTGGCTTTTAGTTCATTCTGGGACATAGGTACACATGGACACTATTTTATCTTTAGTTTGCATTAAAAGATGACAAATCAAGTAGGACTAGAGTGGTTTGACTTTTCTATGTTTAGATGTTTAGGATATATTTTTCCAGATTTCCAGTCCAAGAACTTAATTTCTCAAGGAAGGGCCATATTCTTCCTGGAGTTTTACTTAGCCAAGACATAAGTCATACTAAAGAAACAAAATACTTTTCTTCCCCTAAATGCCTTCTGCTATTTTGGCAGTATTGGCCTTAGGAATTATTGAATTGGCAGAGAGCTCAAGCTGGCAGAAGAGCTCTTTACTCCATTCATCCCTTCAGATAAAAGGTAATAAATTTGTGTTATTCTTTTCTATCCTGTTACAGTGTGAACCTTTATTTTCAATCAGCTATATCTGAGTTCTCAAAAACTGAATTCTATAGCCTATAATCTCATTTGAGTCTTCATATTCTCTGTAATATTTCAATTTTCTGTTAGAAACACAGATGACAAAATCCAGCAATTTTTATCTGATTTAAGTTTTTTTAGTTGCTGCTAAATCTGTAACAATGGAAATTTTCAAATAATATGATATTGGTATGATGGCTTATTCACTTTGTCTTCCAGACTAGGAAAAAAACAACCTAAAGAACCATTAGAAAGATTTTACATAGCACAGCTTCCTTTTTTTATTATTATACTTTTAATAGAAGATCATAACAAAAAATTTTTAAAATCTCATTTCAGATTATTTTAATATAATCATGATGGTCTTTTTAGTTCCTTTTCCTCAAAACTTTACAGTACTGTGATTTCCATTTTGACATCTATTTGCAGTTGATAAATGTTAACTTTTTTTTCCTTAAAAAGGTAGAAATTGATTTAGTAAAGAATTTGCCAAGCCAATTTTACTTACCAACAAGTGACATGATCACAACAACTAAATCAAATATGTTCCACGCATTTGAGAAATAGTACTGCCTCAGAGCCAGCAATTTCAGCACACATTCTGCAGTAAAGATGCTTACGAAGAGCGTATTAATTTTATTAAGGACGTTAGTCTTTGTTTCACTTTGGTCATAGGTTTCCACCATCAACGTGACCATGTTAAGGCAGATGAGAATCATGATGACAACGTCAAAGGCTTGGCGTGTTACAATGTCAAAAAGGAACCCTTGGTATCTGTTCTAGAGAAAAAAATACAACTGGCATGAGTTTTGAATGTAGGGAGTATGCATCTGTAGATATTTCCAACAGCTCCAATTTTAACGCTAAAAAGTCACCCAACTATAGTAAAGTCAGAAATTTAAGAAAGGCAGAATATAAAAATGACAGTAAAAATGTCTTTTTGTTCTGAAGTTTAATATGTTACAAGGTGAAGGTAGAGCTCAATAATATTTATGCAGAGAAATTAATAAATATTTAACCTGTAAAATCTTTCAGTGCAACTCTTTTTGGTATGGAATTGACTTCAAAGCACTGTCTGAGTATCCGTGTAAAGACAGAATAAATAATTTAAATATATAAACATATTGAACTAAATTGCACTTCTGCAATGCATTTTCCTTTTGAAGAAAAACAATCTTACCAGTGGTCTTGGAACAGGTTTTTGAGGTTTCTTGGATCCCAACTTTTTCATTGCATTGTAATATTTTTTCTGTTCTTCCGTCATAAAGATATCTTCCCCACCTAAGTATATAAAGAAATGTCAGTGTTTTTTGATGAGAAAGCAGCACTATTGTAGTTACAACGTCTGAAGTGCTAGAAACCAACATTCCTTCCTTTTCCACATCTGGCTGGTACTGACCTTTTTCGGAACATATAACTGTCCAAAAGAGTGGCACAAACCACAAGACAGAAGTCCTGGGGTGAAACCTGGCTAGGTCAGAAGGCGTGAAAACAAAGGACCTGCTGAAAATCTGGACAAGAACAAATCTTTCCTTGGCTTCTCACATTCTGGTATTTTTGTCTATCCAAATACTCACCAGGCCATCTGTACCAGACCACTTTCTAAATAACAAATCTTCTGTTGTGTGCAGCTCCCCAAAAGGAAGTAAAATTTTAAGGGGCTGCAAAGAAGATGTCACTGCCTTTAAATTGTTGGGGAAGAGCTAGGTGTTCAGGTTACAGGGGAAAAACTCACGCTGGGTCTTATTTCTGCTAATTTAATTACTAATGCTCTTGTAAACACCAATAAATGTTTTAGATTCTGTGTACAGCAGGAACCTTGTTCTCTAAAGATAGCACTGCTTGAGATGTAGTAAGTGCCTGGGAGCACAAGCGATATACTTATCTTTTTCTTTTGTTGGTTGAAGTTGTCAATAATAACGCCAACAAATAGATTCAGGGTAAAGAAAGATCCAAAGATGATGAAGATCACAAAGTAGAGATACATAAATACGTTGTACTCCATTTCTGGCTGCTCATTTTTCTGTAAGAGTGAGAAGCAACATGAAAAATGACAAATAACAACATGGGCCCAATTCAGAATAATCTTCGTACTGCGACCCTCTCACAAACTGATTTCAGAAGGAGCTAAGATTTACAGCCCTACTGCTAATTCCGGCAAAATTGAAAGTCAGTATATGAAAGTCAATATAAACAGTTAGTGAATTGGACATTCTTGATATGATTTTCACAAGCATTTCAGAAGCATCAGTTCAACGTCTTCCAATAAAAAGAGGAGCTGTAAATTGCTCACTACTTGAAAAATCAAGCCAACTATTTAGAAGTGTAATTCCAAGCTCTTGTTATTAAAAAGTCTTGATCCAGATATTTTTTTTTTTACTTAGGGAAAAACTGCTTCTATCATTATTATGAATAAAATGAAAACCAGAACAAGAATAGTTTTTCACATTGAAGCACACAAAAAAAACCCCATTTTCATTTATGGTTACTTTTAAAAATATTTAATTCCTTTGAACTCATGATCAAATAAAGATAGCCTCTTCATTTAAAATTCTTTGTCTCCAAAGACATTCCACTTTGTTCTGAATAGCATTAGATTGTACTTCTGGCATGACAGCAAACATGACCAGCAATCTAAACAGCAGGCAAAATAGTACTAGTGAATCTTGATAATGTGTTTTAAATGGTTGCTTAGCCACAACAGTTCAATTCTTGCTAAGGTTTGGGTTTATGTTTTGAAGTGGATTTTAAACAATGTTGACTGTAAAACATTCGGGTTTACTCCAAGCTTGAGTTTCATAAAAGAAGGTGTGTGAATGTGCCTCCACGGGAGTGGGAAGTCTCAACTCCTCTGCATCCAGTTATTAGTAGAGTCAATGTAGTATAAGGAGGTGCTCAGCTGAATAATCTAGTTATGCAGCAAGCCTAAATGTTTCCTAGATCCCTTTGAATTTATTGACTAGATCTCCATTAACCACAGATGGCACTTGGAGCTGAACTCACATCAGACCTTACACTATAGGCAACTGCATTTGCGTAGGTGCATCTGGACTTGAATTCTTCTCCCCGTTTCTTCTCCCCGTTACAACAGATTCGCTCTAGGATACTATGAGCTATTCACGGAGGAAGTGTTTCCATTAGCTGATAAATATAATTACTGGGTATATTTAACACAGACAAGCAGCAGATGTAAAAGTGCAAAAATCTTGATACTTTTGCAGGAAGCAGTAGCATAAATAAAAAATGTAATTTGAATATAGTGACTGACCTCTCGTGAATCTACGGCTGCATACATGATTTCCATCCAACCCTTAAATGTTGCCTAGAATGAGAAATTATGGAAAACATGTTGAACTTTCAGTGTAAAAACCTTCACGCAATTTGCAAAATCCAAATGACACTGACTAGACTAAGAGCCTTTTGTGTGGGCACAAAGCACCAAGCTGATTTTAGGGAAACTTGCCCCTGCTGCGTGTATGGCATTCTCAGCATTACCAGAACGTCAAAGCTTGCTAGGGTGGGACAGAACATGTTGTCCTAGGAAGCTGACAGGACAAACCTTCATTAGATGGTCTACTAAAGGCCTTACAACCCTCATGGGTGAACAAGTCTGTATTTTGGCAGATTAGGTCAGTATTTCCCCCAGATTTCCTTCTGAAATTGGCTCCAGTTCTCAGGCTTATGAACATGCCAGAGGCTGAAAGAGCTCTTGTCCACCAGATGCTTACGTTATCCCCCGGAAAATCACAGCAAGGTCTGATTTGTCCCCTTTTTTTCATTTGTGTACACGAACAGCACTGCTGTTTGGGCTGCCAGCTAGATGGGAAGAGCAGGTTGCACGATACCACTCACCCATAGAGACGAGTTCAAAGTTGTCAAGGGTGTCAAGCCCATTTGACAAGGTGCTGGCTAGTGAAGGCAAGCAGCACTTACCACCTGAAGAAGAGCCAGGTAGCCAGAGCCAACGTTATCAAAGTTGACTTTAACATTGACCCAGAATATTTTTCCCGTGTTATTATACATTCCACAGTCTGTCATGTTTTTGATCGAATCATTTAAATCCGAATCTTCTTCTGTCAGGTTGACACATTTCCCAAACTTCCCAGCAAAGAGGTTCACTCCCATGATGCTAAAGATAAGCCAGAAGATGAGGCAGACAAGCAGAACGTTCATGATGGAAGGGATGGCTCCCAGCAGGGCATTGACAACCACCTTGGATGAAGTGGGAGAGGAGAGACCTTACACAAAGATGGGTTCAAGTATTTGCTTCGGGCAAATAAGCAGTCAGTCATCTAAACAAAGAGAAACCTAAAGTTTTCATGTAAATACTAGTTACAACTGACACGAGTACCTTGACCAAAGACTCGAAGCTCCTGGCTTTCACAGGAATAATGATAATTTTTGAGCTGCTACCATGAGCCACTACCATGTAAGTATCCCACAATGTGAGTCCACCTTTGTTTGATGACTTCCCCATGGTCTTAGAGTAGGGGGTTATTTTACTTGTTTTAAATTTTTATAACATAAAATTCCTGAAATATTCATCCATAAACACTAGTGCAGAGGACTGTATTAAGAAGACTGTAGAAAGTATTTTTTTAAAAGGTCCAGTAATATCTCTCTACTAGTGTTTTGCTTGATCTATTACTTTTAGTGGATTATGATTTTTTGGGGGGTCTATAACTGTGAGCTAGGTACTTTTTCTCTGCTAGGTGCTATATAATCACAAAGAATGTCCATGTAGGTTTTAAGAGCATGCTAAGACATAACAGGTGGCTTCATAAAATGGGACAGTGTGAGGAAACAATAAGAATATAGTTTTGAGCTTCACAGCAGAGGCAATGAACTCAGCAGCCAGGTAGAAAAGAACTTGATGGACCAGAAGAAAAATCAAAAAGTTTTGTGAAGGTTTTTGTAGACCATGTCACACACATGCCATATCATGACATCTGTCTCAAAACTGTCTCCAAACATGGAATTTTGGATACATCATGTTAATTAATTTAACCCACTTTCTTCCCGTCTTCACAGTGACAAGATTCCTGAGCTTGGGGTAGACATGCGAACTTCATAAAAACACAGTTACGAGTTATGAACCTCTTAAGTGCTTATTAGTACTAACAGGTTCTAATTAGTATTCAGTCTTACCCTCATTCCCTCAAACCGTGCCAATGCTCTTAAGGGTCTCAGAGCTCGGAGAGTCCTAAGAGATTTCATGGGACCAACTGAGCTGCCTAAGAGGTTTATTAAAGAGATCTGAATGGGAAGACAAAAGAAAATATTAGCAATGTCCTGATATTGTTTCAAAAAAAAAAAAACAAAAAAACTCTAACCCAAATCTCCCCATATTTTCAATGTCTAGAGTGCAATATCCTGAAATCATCATTAAAGAAGGTAAGAGCACTATCTTAACTTTGCATCCAGGAAATAATTGGTGATTTGGCTACTACATCCTGTGTCAGTACCAAAGGCAGAACTTACAGCTACAATGAAGAAGTCCAGCCAGCACCAGGCATTGGTGAAATACTTCTTGAAGCCATAAGCCAACCATTTCAGGAGCATTTCCAGAACGAAAATGAAAGTGAACATTTTGTCAAGAAATGCCAACATATTTTTAATGCTTCTTCTCTCATTTATATGGATGTCTTCAAATGCCTGAAATCATAATAGATAGATAATTGGCAAAGATGAGCTTTATAAAATGAAAGTCCGGCACCATTAAGACCCCTTCATCATTTAATAGCTTTTATACAGAACTAAACACCATCTTTACTTAAATTTCTATCAGCTGATACACATATAATTCTCCCTGTCACTTCTCTTTTTCTCTATATAGTACAGCCTTGTGAATATACACACATCATGAACACTGGAATCTTAGGAGGAAAATGTATATTTTTAAAAATCTATTTCAAGAAGTTCATACATTGAAGAGAATGGAGTACTATATCTTTTTTCAAATATTAAGTCTTCTATTTGTTTTAATGGTATAAAAGCTCCTTTATATTTCACAACTTGCTGAGCAAAATCCAATATATAGCCAGAATAGAAACAGTTTCTGAGATTTATGTATTTTTATCTTTGTTCATCCTCTCTTACAATTTTTAATAATATGAATAATAGATTTGCAATAACTGCATGGTGAATAAATTACTGTTATGTGTAGCCTCTTCTTTTTTTCTCCTGGTGAGTTCAAAGATATACACTGTGTTTTCTGCTAAAAAAAAACTTCTCTGGGTGCAGATTAGAGCTAAAAATGCTTCTAAATAAACACATGAAACCGTGCTACACTAACCAAGGCTCCGCTACTCAGAAGAATCATGAATATGATAAAAGATTCAAACCAGGAATGTTCAACAATCTGGTAGCAGATTTTTCTCAGATTCCACCATGTTTCTCCTCCAAACTTTGTGGCACTACCTGTATAACAATGAAAGTATCGAGCACAACCTGAAAGTGAAAGACAGCAATGAATGTGTGAAAGGGATGTACACAGAATCACTGAATGTTTTGGGTTGGAAGGAACCTTAGAGATCATCTAGTTCCATCCCCCTGCCATGGGCAGGGACACCTCCCACCACACCACGTTGCTCAAACCCGCGTCCAACCTGGCCTCCAACACTTCTAGGGTATCCACAACTTCTCTGGGCAACCTGTGCCAGTCCCTCACCACCCTTACAGAAAATAGACAGCTTACGTTCAGCTGAGTTCTCTAATGGTTTGGCCACAGCAGGCATGCTCCAGCCTGGGACTGCAGAGCACAAACCAAGACATTTCACATTTCTTTGCTGGAGCAGGGGAAAAAAAAAAAGTCTCTACTTCTTTTATATTCATGGCTTTAGTGGTAAAAAAAATGCCATCTATAAAGTAATTTTGAAAAAAAAAAACCCACCCTGTAGCTCAGATATCTGTATTATTAATGCAATATTTGTGGGGTTTTCTTAGGAGAAAGCAAACTGCAGTGTAGGTGTTGTGGATCTCTCTTTGGATTTATGATGTATAAAATACATCATAAATATTTTATTACTACACAGAGGATACTTTGCATTGCATTCAGGTAAAAGAACTTCAGATAATTTCTACGTGCGTCTCTGTTATTGATTCAATCCTAAAACCATGCATTAGAAGTTTCATTGACTCAAAAAAGGTACAGGAGGAGGAGGAAAGAGGAGGAAAGAGGAGGAAAGAGGAGGAAAGAGGAGGAAAGAGGAGGAAAGAGGAGGAAAGAGGAGGATGAAGAAAGGTGAAAGAAGGAAGAGGAGGAAAGAGGAGGAAAGAGGAGGAAAGAGGAGGAAAGAGGAGGAAAGAGGAGGAAAGAGGAGGAAAGAGGAGGAAAGAGGAGGAAAGAGGAGGAAAGAGGAGGAAAGAGGAGGAAAGAGGAGGAAAGAGGAGGAAAGAGGAGGAAAGAGGAGGAAAGAGGAGGAAAGAGGAGGAAAGAGGAGGAAAGAGGAGGAAAGAGGAGGAAAGAGGAGGAAAGAGGAGGAAAGAGGAGGAAAGAGGAGGAAAGAGGAGGAAAGAGGAGGAAAGAGGAGGAAAGAGGAGGAAAGAGGAGGAAAGAGGAGGAAAGAGGAGGAAAGAGGAGGAAAGAGGAGGAAAGAGGAGGAAAGAGGAGGAAAGAGGAGGAAAGAGGAGGAAAGAGGAGGAAAGAGGAGGAAAGAGGAGGAAAGAGGAGGAAAGAGGAGGAAAGAGGAGGAAAGAGGAGGAAAGAGGAGGAAAGAGGAGGAAAGAGGAGGAAAGAGGAGGAAAGAGGAGGAAAGAGGAGGAAAGAGGAGGAAAGAGGAGGAAAGAGGAGGAAAGAGGAGAAAAGAAGAAAAAGGAAAAAAAAGGAAAAAGGGAGAAAAGGAGAAAGGAAAAAAGGAAAAAAGAAAAAAAAAAGGAAAAAAAAGCACCAGCTCTGCAGAACAGGGTGATGAGGAAATGGGAGTAACTGCAGTCAGATTTGATTTATCCGCATTCTTGTCAGATAAAATATCCAGGAATGGGATGATAGTGATGAGAGAAAGGGTCTCTGAGGAAAGCAGCTCAGAGAGCTGTGGGACCTGCTGCTGGGTTCAAGGGTGGAGAAGACTCTCCTGATCATTTTGTGGTACAGCGAAGCTCAGATGGGCAGAAAACAACAGAACTGAAGAAAATTTGGGAGTGAGTGGTAACAGTGGTGGTCAGCCAGGCTGACCAGGTGAGCAAAGAGCAAGCTGGAGCATCAGGAAGAATTTTGCAAAGTTATAATTTGTTTAATATAACACGTTTGGAAGAAACGAGTCTACAAACTGACTTGATGTTCTCTCACAGCTAAAACTGAGATGCAGCAATTACTCCTGGCCTTCAGTACTGACATTTTTTTTTTAAAAAAAAATCTCAAGAGCTATTTCTTTGCATCTTATGAAAACCACATGTGTTGTGACACATGTCAGGGTAGGAAGAATTGATAAAAGTGCTGAACACATTCCATAACACTTTGTAAGGCTGGATGTTGCATGTCAATTTGAGATCGGATTCCCAGATTATCACCCTATAGAAATTCAGCTCTACCTGATCAACTTCTCCCTGCTTACTTCACTCCCTTGTTTGTTACACAGGTTGTTCATGAAATGCTGTTCAAGGAATAAACATTTATATTGTTGCAAAGTATTAAACAAATCCAATGTGCCAAGTGCCTTGTTCCAGTAGCCAGCGTCAGGTGAGACTTGATCACAAGCACTCCTCTTATGTTAAACACCAAAAGTGACTTGTGTGCTGCCCAATCAAGTGAAATTCATCTCAATTCACCATTATAATCTCATTTTTTGGGACCGTACCTATTGCTTTACCCAAGTCCCAGTTAGAAGAAATTTAAGAAGGGGTTGTTTTTTTCCCAAGTGTTATGGTCCCTCTGTTAACTACAGAGGAATAGCAATTTGGACTATTTATTCAATTTCCAGATAACTAAAATTAAATTAAAATAATATGACCCTATTAGATCAACGTCACTAGGGAAACAGGTTGGGTTTTGACTTTTCTCACTTCCCAGTAGTGAAAACACAAGGGCCTTACCTTCTGGAAAACATTTTTCTGGAGTCTTAAAGTCTTCAGCAAGCTCTGAAATCTGCTTCAAAAGATCTTCAGGATTTGTCAGATCCACTGTGCTGCCCTCGGAAGGGCTGACACTGGCAAACTACGGAGCAGAATGAGATCAGGTATTGATTCTTTCTATATTCTGCTCCAACTGAATATACATTCATCCATGAAGAAATAAAATTCAAAATTAAAACTTAGCCATGTACTAATATTTCAAGTAGTGGTGGTAATGGAAGAAACTTTGTGATTTTAAAAGCATACGAGCTTGGAAGTACAAATAGCAGTCAAAGATATATAATTATAATATCAGTCTATATGAACCAAATGTAATTGATTGGTAAACTGAGGAGATTTTAAATATTTTATAAGTGTCAGCAGTCCTCAAAGTGGGATAAGCTACTTAGATTAAAACCATGATATTATAGAAAGATGCATTTAAACAGGAAAAACACACAAATATATCTGAAATTGTATTAGGTACTGAACACCCATGACAGTATTTATGAGGTAGAAATTGGAATAATATCATACATTACCCAGTTAGAAAGCTTTCTGCTATCCAGTTACACTATATGTAATGTACAGTGCCCCAGCAGTTTATTGAAAATTATTTACTCTATGCTCTTGTTCTTCTATGTTTTCAAATTGCTTTTTGGTTGTTTTTTAAATGTATTTGTTTTTCAAAATTATTCTAAATAGTTATTAGTTACAAATATTTTATCTTTAATGTCATAGTGAGAAAAATAATTTAAATTATTATGTTTCTTGAAAATGAGATATTTAGGACACAGACAGACTTGCTGGAATTTCCGACTTGGAATCATATCTCTCATTTAATGCCCCCTTTTTTCTCTCCTCCTCCTTTCCTTTTTTTGTGGACTCAGATTTCAACAAATGGGAAGTAGCAGAAAGAATTTTATAAATAATTTACTTGAATCAAATTATTTTGTACTTTTCCAATTTCTAAATGCTCTATTTCCTGTATAGACATCTTTCTTAAAAATCAATACCTAGAAAGCCAGCACAGCTTTGATTTTATTCACAGACCTCCAGCTCCATCATTAACCATCCAGACAGGCTACTGCAAACTCAGAGCCACTTTTGCCACTGAGCTCCACTCCAGCAAATCCTTGAGCAGAAACCTATCTGTGCTTGACCAGTATTGGAAAGTCAACACCAAAACAAAACAAAAACCTCAAAATTACCTCTTTATCTTCTGGTGATGATGATTCAATCTTCCTTTCTTTTCCTTGGTAAAGTATGCTAAATTCTTCAGAGGAAGATCCCAATGGTTTACTCCAGCTGCCTGAATTTTTTCCTCTTTCTCCCCTTTGCCTCAGGTGATTTTCAGCCTGAAAATAATCTGTGTGTTATAGGGTGTTTCTTTTCCCTTTCCAGTGGGTGGGAAGTTGAAAGGGAAAGAAAAATAACATATGTATTTCATTTAAAGTGGGACTGTCCAGACAAAAGTCGTAAGATGTGACCATTTTGAGTTTCTGATTTTACCTAAGGAGAGAGAAAGGGACATTTTTCGCAATGGACATGCAGCAAACTAAGGAATTTTAGTGAACTAGTCAAAAGTCAAGCGAGATTTTCTGCATAGGAATCAGGATGAAAACTGTGGGAAAACTTGAGATCAGAATGGCAACCTTCTATGGTGGAAATTGAACTGAAAAATTTGGAGAACACAAAGAAATGGGACAATATATGTCATTATAGAAGAAATATGACTTCAACAGAGCCACTCTATACTGAATCTCTTTAACTTCTAATAGATACTATGTACTACATACAGAAAGGACAAAAAGAATGGACAAGAGTTGTAAATTTATATTATGAGCCCAGGATAATGTTGTTTATGCAAAATATATTTATTTTTTTTTCTCTGTAACATAAATAATGCCAAAACAGTTGGCATTAAGCACACAATTTTTTACAAAAAAACTCCAGGTTCAGCAAGGACTCCCACAAGAATCTACGGACAATCAACAGGAGATGTACCTACCTGTAACACAACATGTCAGCTAGGAATTCCTGCAGCAAACCCGACAATTGATGGTCTTTCTTTTGAGACCATGAATGAATCTTGATTTTAAAAACTCCAAGTGATAATTTACCCTCGTTCTAAACATTTGTGCTTTTGGTTCTACTTCAAAATTTGGTAACTGTAGAAGTGGATCAACATATGCCATGCTCTTCTGCTAGAGAGTCTTCTCCTATACATGTATCCCTCAATGTATATATACGATTCTGCTATTCCAACACAAATAAAGGAATTTATTACCTGTTTGCTGTATTCTACATCTGTAAATGTGCTCAGTTTATCATCATCTTCAAAACCCTCACTTGTATTCTCTGCCTCAGCAATAGGGACGCAAACAAATACATTGGGATTGAAAATAAAATCTTCAAGTCCTGAGCATTTGTCCCCATTCTTCTCAGCCCATTCATTATGGTAATTCTCTTTATGATTCTTTATTTCTTCACACTTGATCCCAAGTGGGTTCTGTGCTGTCAGTTTGATTTTCTTCCTGTGGGATTTCTTTAGATGCCTGAGCTTGCCACAACAGGTATCCCAGGTAACACTCTTCAAAAAGTGAAATCCCTTGTGAATCCGAGCAAAGGCAATGCGAAGATTGTTCAACTCTCCATCATCCTCTGCCGTCTGGAGAGAGTCGGTACTGAAGGAATTCAGCAGTAGTGCAATGAAAAGGTTGAGAACCTGAAAGTCAATGAAATAACAATAAAATTAAAAGTCAGGAGAGCAGCATTCTGGCATGTAAATTCTGACTTTGAAGAACACAGGCAATCATAGAATCATGGAATCGTTAAGGCTGGGAAAGACCTCCAAGATCATCAAGTCCAACTGTCAACTCAACACCATCACAACACTAAACCATGTCTCGAATTAGGCCTCTGTGGAACTACTTTGAAAATCTGTGAGATCAGATTCAGGCCCAGCAATTCCATCAAACCTGCAATACTGCCACAAAAATCAGAAGCTCAAAGTGAGATTTCCTCCCTCATTTGAGTACATTTAAATAGAATAATTTATAAATTTCTTTTTTTTTCTTTCTTTTTTCAAGGGAATGGAAGAATTTCATTTTTTTCTTAATGTTTTAGTTTGGGATGGGATCTGTGTATCTCAATTTTTACTGTGTCAGAACTGAGCAGATAACACCTCCAAGTCATTCAGGGACCAGAGTCAGTGGAGAACGTCAACCCTCCAGAGACGAATTCGTCCCATCTGTCTTAGTTATCAAAGTCAGGCTGGAATAAATCTCACTCTTAGATACCCCTCTGTTTCCTTTAATAAGAAGAAAGCCTAGACAAGGAGTGTAGGCTAAGCACTTAATTGTTTGACAGTTATGTGATATGAATATCACTCGCAGCATTTCATCACTGAAATCTATCACTGCGGTGCAGAACATGCAAGAATTTAAACCCAGGGATTTGAGCTTTAGTCACAGAACAAATATTTCCCATAAAGAACTGTCTGAACTTAATTCTTTACAGTGGTTTCTTAAAATTAAAATTGGTATACTGAAAATGACATAAGATATGAGGTTGAGGAGAGGAGA